GCCGCTCCAACTGGTTCAAGATCCACTGTCTGCTTCAGGAGCAGACGAACGGAAGCCAAAGCGGGACGCCGGGAACGGGTTCGCCGTTCGGGCCGAGTTTCCTACCGGGATTCCTCCCTCAGGCTCCGCCGCAGCAAGGCGGCGTGGCGTACAAGGACGGGAAGGACCGTAACTCACCTAGTCAGGAAGACCTTGCGCTCCAGTCGCATCTGTTGCACGTGGCGATGCTGAAACAGGAACACGAGAGGGAGAACAAGTCTCCGCACCCGGACGACGTTGCCCTTCAGAACCAGCTGCGTTTGCTCGCCTGGCAGAAGGAACGCGAGAGAGTCGGTGGAAACGCTCAACAGCTTTCGGGTACGCCAACCAGGGAAACAACACCTTCGCCGTTTTATAAGCAGCAGCAGCAGCAACAACAACAGCAGCAACAGCAGCATCATCAACAACAACAACAGCCAAGGTCGCCGATATTCCCGATGAACTTTGTTCAGAGGGAAGGCGTCTGCGTGCCGAGTAGCCCAGCAGACGTGTTCAGACCGTTTCTGCCGACTTTCAAGAGGACATCGGACACACCGAGCGACAGCGAAACGTCCTCGATAAACGGCGGCGACGTCTCCCAGGACACTGAATCGAGGAGTAACTCGGTACTGAGTTACTTCAAAGCCAGCGCCGCCTCACCGACGTTGTCCGAACGAGATTTCCCGCCGAGAAAGATCAACGCTACGGTCACTCTGACGACGGCGTACCATCTTCACCACGGCCTAGGCCTGGTATACCCGCCACCCGGTCTAATCACGCCAGCCACGTCTCAACATTCGCCGAGAGGCGGTGATCTGCTACTCGTCAGTCCAAGCCCGGGCGGTCTGGCCGTGGAGCAGGACGAGCCGATAGATCTCAGCGTCAGATCCAGCAGGAATTCACCGAGACCGAGTCACTCGTCGTCGGAGGAGGACAACAGGTCGAACGACAATGATCGCGATCGCGATAGCCCGGCGAAGGAGGAAGCCACGACGAAGAGCAAGCCCTTGGACCTGACGTTAGGTGTGAAGAGGCCGGAGCTACCTCTGTCGCTGTGACGATTTTCGTAGCAACCTGCGGTGGGTTGGCCCCAAAGGCTTTGCTAGCAGCAGCTAGCGACTGCTACCGCAGCAATTGGAAGGATCGTTGGAGGGATCGAGCAAGGTTTGTTATGTGGATAGACGCGAACATACGCGATACATGGGGAAATTACGAGGTAATCCGTACAACAGAATTGAAACCCGCCACGAAAAATGTGTTCAAATTTGTACATAGGTATCACAATCCGACGTGTAACGTTTAATTTATTACGAGCGAGTATCATTTGCGAGTACCTCCGTATCGTTGTATCACGTATATTATATATCGAGAAAGGAATAAGAGTACTAATGATAAATCGCTATATAAAGAAACCAGAACTAATCTGCCGATGGGCTACGTCCACCTCGATTTCGACCATTTTTCGAATATATATCGTAGAGAGCAATATGTACTGTCCCATACGTACTGTTCTCGTATAGTTGTTGAACTCGCTTGATGAACTGTCGATACTGCTATTGCGAATTTTGCTCGTGATGCATTATGCATTCGTTATGACGTTATGCATTCGTTGGTCTGTATAGAATATGCAATTTTAGCTAATATCGATCTACAGGATGTTGACGAATTTGCTGACCAATCGTTTTGTCGTAATCGGTAAGTATGAGAAAACAATATTTTTTTTTTTTATATTCTGATAACGATTGATAAACAGTTTATATCCCGTTGATGGTATGTTCTATATAATGACAATAATAATTATATAATATATGTAATGACACATATGTTAATATAATCTGAAGCGCACACTGCGACGGATACGTAGTATTACAAATGAAATTCAGTATTTCGCAAACATTTACAAATAATTAAACGAGTCCAACGATTATACATGCTGTTCTAAAGCTACGATATTTTATTTAAAAAAATCGCTCGAACCGAAGCAAGGACGTAACGCGTCGGTGGTTTTCGCCGAAATCGTAAAATCGTACATATATCGGCCAGTGCCTTAATATAATATATGTATTTATATTTTAAATATTCTATATTGTACATGTAAACGTATACTTGGAACTTTGGACCGCTGAACTATTTTATCTTTTCTCTTTTCTCCTTTACGCCCGATTCGTCGTTGTAAATTGTGTTCTTCTTCGTCGTTCTTCGATAGCGAGTCGCATGTGGGCGTGGAGACAGAGACAGACAGAGAGAGTGTGTGCATGCATGCATGTAAGAGAGAGAAAGAAAAAGAGGAGAAGACGATTGGTAACGATCGCATCCGCGATCCTGTCACGACGAGAGGTCAGTTAATAAAAGTGGACGAGAGATAGTGACGTCACGTGCATCTTGTAAATAAGCAAAGGGAGGTAGGCAGAGGAATGAAAAAAATCATTCGTATGCGCGTAATTAGAAGAGGGGTGGAGGGGCGAATCGTCGGAGTATCGTTTCTACGCTTCCGTTTGATGTACGGGATCTCTCGGCTCGCGTAAACAGACCACTCTCTGTTTATCCACACGGATAATTTTCTTTTTTTTTGTTCTTCTTCTTTTTTTTTTTCGTTTTATTCACACGATTCCGAATCTTTTTATCAATTTCTCTCTTGATTTTGTACATAGTATGTAAACGGTAAATACAAGTGGCCAGTATCCAAACGTAACGCGAATTAAATATTATTCTTTAACCTACAACAACGATGTCTTCCTCCGGTTACCCAGTGTTGTCTCTTCTTTGAGTTGTTTGCACGTAGTTGCGTAAGTAGTTCCTAGGATTCTAGGATGGCACCGAGACGACGTCGTTCTACCGAATGAATAATTCGACTTCAATCGGCCAGCCCGAACAGAACACGTAACAAATGTCTTCTCTTTTACTAACGCATCCACATCTCCACGCCTCCACGAGATTCAGTTCCACGTTCCAAGCCAGAATCGAATATTAAGATCACAAATGCAAACGCGTCGGCGACGATCTATCACTTTTAACTTCTGAAGCACAAGTACAGAGTTCTGTTCTGTCAAGTTCAAATTTCGTACAAAACGAAAGGATGGATGGATAAGCATGGAGACGTTTCATGGAGTGACCCTGGAAATCCGGCAGCCGATTCACGTATCAGCCTTGGAGGATGATGGTCGACGGACGCGATCGACGAGGTATATATATATATATATATATATATATATATATATATATATATATAT